GGGTTGAAATTGAATTAATAGCAAACTAAAATTACATTTGAGGAGTATTTGGAAGACAGAACAAAAAATTGCTATCTATAACACAAATCAGAAACAGTTTGATGCAAGGTTATCAATAGTTCCTATTGTTCCTTGCTATTTTACTAGTTTATTTTGTAGTTTAGCTCAGAGTTTATTTCCTTTTTGCGTGATCGTATCTTAAGCAGAACCTCTCTTTAATAGTGAATGCAGATAATTGTTGGAGAGATATGGGGCAATTAGCCACAAACATATTTATTCATCCTATATTCATCCAGGAGTTAGGTTTCTCCTTTTATTTACACTCATTTGATTTTACAATGCATTATTAGTCTAATAGCTCATTTGTGCAGCTTGAATTGCTGACAGTCGTAACTCAAACTTAATTTCAAAGGATTATCCATATCCTGACAGCTGAAAAATTAGAAATCATTCTGCTTTGAACAAACAACAAATAAAGGTATTCTAAAATTCCACTAATATCCTCATGAAAAGATCCCTAGTCAGGCATTGCTTCCTTCAGTAAAATTATGCTAGGGCATAAAACATGGATGCTGTGTATTTCACACTCCTTTGAGAGACTCCTATGACTTAAATATGGATTTTAAATAGGCACACCAGAACATAAGACTATGTTCTTGGAGATAAACAGGTTATGCCCATCTGCAAACAATGTAATTTTCTAGCCAGTGGCATGTCTAAATCACTTCATTATTAATGCTGTTCGGAGATGGCTTGTATTATACAGATTTTTTTTAGCATAAGCAGCACAATTGAGCTGTTTTCCCCACTACATGTCTAGATGGTGATTTTCCTTAATGATGGCCAGTAGAGGACCATGTATGTAATTAATAGGTCGAGCAATTGCAACTAAAGAATGCAAAAAACATCCGTTCTTTGGTTCTGTTTTATTTACTGATTTTAAATGTTGGTGAATCTATAAAAACAATGGCAGAAAATGACCTCCAAATTACTCCCTGAGGTGAGGAGCCACATATTAAAGTTTTGAGTATGTATGCATCTTTTGCTCAAGTAATGAGAATGCTGGCTAATAAAAGCTAAGCACACTTTTTAAAGATAGATGCATGTAATAATCTCAGTATCCAGCATCTATAGTTTTCCTGTTTCATTTGCATGCCGTTTTCTTACATATAACCTACTCCATCACAGTAGCATCACTGCAGGGGGGGGGGGTGCGGACCACATCAGGTGACACCCCAGAAGGGGAGTAACATCAGGTCGGATCTCTGCCCCACGGGTGCTATTTCAGAGCCTTTTCAGGCTGTCTAGGCCCCACATGGAGGCTTTTTGGGCCACCCCACCCTGGAAACACCGCCGGAGGTCCCATCCCGCTGGAAGTCCTGGGCCAGAAGCCCCGACCCCTGCACCAGGGGTCACTCAGTGTGTGAATGCTACTACTCCATCAAGAAAGAAGCGGGTGGGGGTTGACCTAACAGACAACTCACTCTGGAACAGGGGTAGGCAACCTTTCCCCTTTAAGGGCCGAGGGACTTCAGCTCCCAGAATCCCAGGAGCTATTGGCCAACATGGGACTATTGGCCAACATGGCTGAGGCTTCTGGGAGCTGAAGTCCCTCGGCCCTTAAAGGGGAAAGGTTGCCTACCCCTGCCCCATAGTTTCCAGACCCTTCGCCATTCTGATCACCCTCCTCTGGATATGTTCGAGCTTGTCAATATCCATATTGAATTGTGGTGCCCAGAATTGGACACAGCATTCCAGGTGAGGCCTGACCAAAGCAGAACAGAGTGGCACTACGATTCCCATCAATCTAGATCAGGGATAGGCAACCTGTCCCCTTTAAGGGCCAAGGGACTTCAGCTCCCAGAAGCCTCAGCCATGTTGGCCAATAGTCCCATGTTGGCCAATAGTTCCTGGGATTCTGGGAGCTGAAGTCCCTCGGCCCTTAAAGGGGAAAGGTTGCCTACCCCTGCTCTGGAAGATGGCATCTGTGTGTCCCCCGTGAAATCACAGGGAAAGGAGAGATCAATCCCTATACATTGGCCAGGAAATAAATAACTATGGGGAGTCTGCTTCATCCTTAAAATCCACTTAAGAATACCTACAACACCTTGATTCCCTATGTTAAAAGAAAGGCAGAATATAAGTAAATAAGAACTATAATTGTATTTTAAAAAAAAAAAAAAGTTTGCATTGGCTCTTTTCTTCTTTCTTTCCAGTACTTTCCCCTCTGTGCAGAATGATTTAGACTGTAAACCTGAGATAGGACTATATTCTTAATAATCTTTGTAAGTCACAGTGCATTTTTTATTTGATTAAACAGTGGGATGGCAATATTTCGTATAAATAAACATGAGGCTAAAACCAACAGGCTTTCTTATCAGGAGACAGAACATTTGGGCTTGCAAATATCAATATCAGAGATGGAAATTGTGTTCCTACCAGCCCTCATCAACATAGCCAATGGTGTGGAATACTAAGAATTGCAGTCCAAAATCATCCAAATTTCCTTCCCCCAAGCTGTACCTGTATATATTGATAAGACTCAAATAAGTCTTGTGTATGCCTGTAGCCCTTGCATAAATGTGAATTCTCTCTTTTTGCATCATATCTGGATAGCCTTCAGTATTCAAGAGCTAATATTCAGGCCACAAGGAGAGAAGGGATGAGATGCCACAACGTACTACAATTTCCAGAATTCCATAGCACTGAGCCATGGCAATTAAAGTGGTATCAAACTGGATTGTTTAAACAGTGTGGGTGCACCTTTGATACACATTACATTTCTATCTTGATTCTTTTCTTGTAGATCAGAGGTGGGAGTTGTGCAGCTTTCCCAGTGTTGTTAAACTGCATCTCACAGCCGTGAGTGTTGGCTAAAGTTGGTAGGAGCTGTAGTCCAACAATACCTGGAAGGCCACATAAAGACCCAAAAGTTTAATCATATGGATGCCTGTTTATCTTGAAGTTATGCAGACAGGATCAATCATGCAGGTGCATACTAAATTATCTTTGCCCTCCAGATTGATTCATCAGGCAGGAAAACTGATATATCTGGCCTCACTTACAGAATTCCAAGTATTACCATAGCAGTGTTTGACACATGGAGACAACATCCACATTGTTACTGCAAATTTAAATCAATGTTTATTCCAATGCTCCACACATTAGGGAGAGCAACGCTTTGTTTGAGGAGGGTGATAAGAGGAAGATTTATCCTTCAGAAGGCAGTATGGATACGCCAGACCCTGTTGTACTATATATGAAGCATGAAGGGGACACATGCACTCCAGATACCATGCAACTGTGTTGAACATGCAACAAGGACCCATGTTTAAGAGACGTACTACATTTTTGGACACAAATGCCTAGTTGTGCTTATATGAACATTGTCCTGTGTCATAAGTGAATGAGAAAAATTATGCAGTCCCCCAAAATCCATTTACATCTTAGCTAGAACCAGAATTATGCTACAGTTTATATGAGGCATCTGAACCAGCAGGCATGGGCCTTATAAGATCTGACACCCTCCAAATAAATATAAAACATAAATGTGTCCTTAGGTGCACATGCTGTGTGTGTATCACTCACATAGACAGACACAATGCTATGGCATGAAGACAGAGATAAAGTACAGAAACCATTTTTCAGCCTTATCCACACATGTGCAATGTTTATACATGTGCAATATGTGCTCTTCTTATTATTTATTATTAATTTATATTTAAATTTATATGTGTGCTCCACTTGTTCCCAGCACTGGGACTCAAGATGGCTCTAAATATTTTAGGTTCTAAACATTATGTCATGGAAAAGGAGTGATGCGCTAAGCCATTCAGCAGAAAGAATTAAACGATTGAACAGATTTTAACAGAAAGAATTAAAAGTGTAATGTGGTGAACCCTATGTAGTGATAATATATATTGCAGCAACAGTCCTTTCTTACTTGAAAATCAGATACATTCAACTCAGGATATTGAATGGCATTCAATATTCAATTACCTCTTATAGCAATATAGGAAAGGGGATTACATAGGATCAATTTGTAGAACTGGTGTTGTCGAATATGACAGCAGCACTTGGATAGAAGTCTCTCCCATCAGTAACCCGCTTATCCTTTTAATTAGCAAGATCGGAGATTGAACCAGAAATGTATGCACACAAATCCATGCAAATCCTTCTTTGAAATGAGCATGGCAGGAATTGAACCAGTGCCATCCTGCATACAAAGCACATGATCTGCCGCAGAACCACCCTTTTCAGACTTTTAAAAATGGAGTACCAGAAGGAAGATAACTCCTCCAACATGGCTTTGCCCAGGAAATTATCATATCGGCTCATACCTTTTGCAAAGCACATGTGAATTGTGGTCTTCCTCCATACAAAAAGATCTAAAAGACTAAATCCAGTATCTTTTCTACCCAGAGAAGGTTTGAGGTTCAGCATGGTGCAGTGGTTTGAATGTTGGAATAGGACTCCAGAAGACCAGGGTTTGAATCCCTGCTCAGCCATGGGAACCCACTAGAGTATCTTAAGCTAGTCATATTCTGTCAGCCTAAGAGGAAGGCAATGGCAAATCTCCTTTGAAGAAATCTTGCCAAACAGGGCTGTGGAGTCAAAAGCAATTTTGAGTGGAGTCAGTAGAAACATACCAACTCTGACTCCAGCTTCAAAATATCACATGTCTAGTTTATTGCATATACCTCCATAGGCATTTAGGACATTTTTCTTACACAGACATTTTAATCAATAAATATATTTTAGGTTGTATCAATTTCAATAGCCTGATTATTATTGTAGTGGTGACAAAATGCCTCATCCTACCATTTTACTACAGTTAATAAGGTATTGTGTGCATGCATGTGCCTTCAAGTCACCTGTCAACCTCATATTTTTGTAGAGTTTTCTTAGGCAAGGAATACTCACAGATGGTTTTTGTGGGTTTTTCAGGCTATGTGACCATATTCTGGAAGAGTTTATTCCTGACAATTTGCCAGCCACAGCTGCTGGCAAAATGTCAGGAATAAACTCCTCAAAAACATGGCCACATAGCCCTAAAAATCAACAAAAAACTATGGATGATGGCCATGAAAGCCTTCAGCTTCAGTCAGAGGTGGTTCTGCCAGTTCCATCCTCTAAAACAGGGGTAGGCAACCTAAGGCCCGGGGGCCGGAT